ACAAATTTATCGGTTTTGTGTAACACATCTTCATCAATTTTATGTCCTAAATATAGTATACTTTTTTGAAAAAAATTACATTTTTCTTTATTCAACTTCATATTGTGCATTCTTAAAATTTCTAGTACTTGTTGTAGTCTTAGTAATGTAACATCATAAGTAGCGCCTTGAATTATTATGTCATCCAGGAAACATTGTACTCTAGGATTTTATCCATGTACTTCTGCCACAAACCTGGTGCAATTTTAGCTCCAAACAGGCGGTTGACCCTATACAATTAGTCCTGATTGTTTAGAATAGAGCACTCTCTTTATCCATGCCCATTTCTAAGTAGGCCTGTTTTAAGTCCAAAGTACAAAAGAATTTACCTTCATTCATTTTTGAAAAAATGTGCTCTATTCGGAGTATTTGAGATTTCCCATCTTTGATATATCTATTGAGTGTGACTTTGTATTCTGCACACAATCTTACACTTTCATTAGGTTTCAGTATGGGAACAATTGGAGTACCCCAGTCAGAATTTTCAATTTTTATTATTATTTTTAATTTGGTTAACTGGTCTAATTCTTCTTCTCTTTATTTAATAATGCATATAGAATTCTCCTTGATTTGTAGAATATCGGCTTTGCATTCTCTTCAAGTTCTATGTGTCCCATAAAGTTTGATACCCATGTTATACATTATCAAATTTCAATTCTTAGAACATTTTCTAAAAATAGGTTGCTCTTACTCTGAATGGTTTGGATAGTTTTAATTTCATTCAAATTTATTCTGGATTCCCGAATCCATTCCCTTCCAAATATAGGGCCGACCTGAGCTTTGATGATGTATAGTTTACCATATAATGTTTCATTTTCAATTGCATATTGGACATATACATAATCAAATGGAATAATTCTTTCTCCTGTATAAGTAACTAAGTCAATCGTTGTTTTAAAAATTCGTTTAGTTAGTTGTAATCTGATAAAGTTATTATACGAGGTTGTAGACAAAGCAGCTCCTGTATTTAGATCCATTTTGATTGGTCTTCCATCAATGTTGACTGTTACTATAAATTTATCATTTGTGAACGATGTAATTATATTAATTTCTGCATTCTACTCATTGTCAGATTGACCTGCTTCTACAAGGTCTCTTATTTGGTGTTGTCTATTTCTGTTATTCCGTTTTTGTAAACAAACTTTTGAAATATGCCCCATTTTTTACAAAAATCACAAATGTTGTCCTTGTGGTAACAGGTATCTGCGTCATGGTGCTTATCTCCACATCTGTAATCTCCACATTTTATTTCTATTAGTAACTTGAGGCACTTGATCTTTCCCCATTTCATTAGACTTCCTGTTGCTCTCTGGCTTCCTTTCGGAACTTGTAGAATTTGTTGTTTTCTTTATTTCTCCTTCTGACTTTGACATTTCTGTATTTATCGCCAACTCAAGCTTCTCTTTGTACGTCATTTTTTTCCTCTCTTGTAATATTCTTGTTCGGATACTATTTTCATATATTCCTCGTAGAAATGGCAGGCAAAGAAACTTGTCTGCTATTGTTTTTCTGCATGCACAGGAAATATCAAAATCTGCGATTAGTTTCTTTAATTCTCTATTATACTCCATTATAGATTCGTGTAATCGTTGTACGCGTGAAATAAAATTATGTTGTCTCGTCCACAAACTTGGTTTTGGATCCAGATAATCTTCCAATATTTTAACTAATTCAAAATTTTCTTTTAACGGATCGCCTGGTGCACATAAGTCATATAAAATTTGATGCATAGCTGGTATTAATAGCATTTAAAAATATATACTTTTTAGTTTTTTTCATTTTTATCACATCCTTGCAGATCTGTGTATATTTTAAGTCTATTCATAAAATTTTTAAAAGATTCGTCCATTTGATAAGGTGTAAAATTAACCTTAGTCTGAACCGGTAGTAATTCAGCTGAGAAACTTGTTGAAGCTGTCTCTGTTATTGGTTGAGGTTTAGGTGTAAAATTCTTATGTAAATCTAATTTTACTGTCATAAACAAATTTTCTATTTCCTGCCTTAGGACTTTGATATGAAACGTAGCGCTTTAAAATTTAAAACTAACGACTAAAAAAATGTATTTGTCTGAATCTTAATCATTCTACTTAAATGTTTGAAGCAATTTTTTTTAAATTGAAACGAATTATAACAATAATTTAGGAATAAATCATTGTTCCTATTGTATTTTTTTATCAAAAACTGCATGTCAAAACGAACACTTTAGTTTAACATAAAAATAAACTACTACAACTAACCATATACTTGTCTCATGCTACGACACTGAATTAATACCTAACTGGTTTATTAGGATTCCCAATAGACCTTCTTAGTATTGACGAGTTTATCACTGATTCAAAGTATTTACCTAACTTGGCTAGATATAATATTTATACGACGAGGAAATAGTATGGAATAATCTCACTTTTTAAATTTCCGCGTTGACTAGGCATAAACAATAAAATGATCCCGGTAAGTGGAGCTCTGAAAATTGTAATAGAATTACATTGTTGCCGGTTCACCACAATGCAATCCGCAAGAAGAGTCACCATCATTTAAAAATTGTTCGAGTATAGAAGGCAGGTAACTGTAACCTAGATAAGCGAGTTAAATGATGTTTACTGGAAGTAAGTGTAGATGGCTAAAGGAATTACATAAATATATTATTAACTGTTAATAAAAAATTAAATTATGAATAAAATATATTTTATAAAAAGATGAACATCCTACAAGAAAATATGATTAAATTGTATCGAAAATGAACCCGGCAACCAAAGCAAAAAATCTGATGTGTTCAACACATGACTTTCCTATCTAGTTTTTATAGGCTTTTTCCGGTTATTTTGTACAACCTATTGCAGCACCTCTATAATTGTTTAGAGGATAAACTAAATATATACATTTTCCACATACTTCTACCTCGAAACATTTTTCTATAGATATTCATTGAAAACGAAAATACTGAAAAATTTAAATTTAGCACTTTTCCTACAATTTTTCCATTACGGTTCATTTTAGAAAAATTATGTATGAACAAAAATTATAGAGACCGATATCGCAAACAACTTTTATTTCAACAATTTTCATAAAAATCACAATTTTGCACATTTTGTCAAATTTCTCGAATACGGACCATTTCAGGAAATTTTGACATAAAGCAAAAATTATAGATAATAATATTAGAAGTAACTTTTATTTGAACAATTTTCTTCTCCAAACATAAATAACATATATTCCATAAAATATAAAAACGGCCTCCCATAAAGTACCACCCCCCACCCCTCCAGATGTTCCAACTTTGTCCAAAATCTAATCATTTCACGTCAGGCCGAAATAAACCTTAAGTTTAAAATTTAATGTTTTTTTCTTTATCCGTTTTTGAGTTTTCTTCAAAATTCGAAATTACACAATTTTTCAAATATCTCGAATACGGTCCATTTTAGAGAAATTCTGTATAGGATAAAAATTATAGAGAATTATATTACAAACAACTTTTATATGAACAATTTTTATAAAAAAATATTTTTTTACATTTTGTCAAATTTCTCGAATACGGCCCATTTTAGGAAAATTTTGTATAGAACAGAAATTATAGATAATAATATAAGGAGTAACTTTTATTTGAAATATTTTCTTCTCCAAATGTAAATAACAGATATATTCCATAAAATATAAAAATGACCACCTAAAAAGTACCCCCCCAGATGTTCCGACTCTGCCCAAAATCTAATCAGTTCATTGGACGCTGGAAAAAAGCTTAAGTTTAAAATTTGGTGTTTTTCTGTGTATCGGTTCATGAGTTATGCGACTCACAGACACACACACACACACACACACACACACACGAGCGCGCGCGCGCGCGCGCACGCACACACACACACAGACACAAACATCATCGCGAAAATAGTCAAAACGGATTCAGGGGACCTCAAAACGTAAAAATCCGTCGAAAACTCGAGGTCGAAAAAAATCATGATTCCTATACTTTCCTTATATCTGTATACAGGTAGGAAAGTAAAAATTAAAAAGCGAACTTTTTGAGAGAGAGAGAGAGAGAGAGATAGAGAGAGATATAGAGAGAGAGAGAGATATAGAGAGAGAGAGATATAGAGAGAGAGAGATATAGAGAGATAGAGATATAGAGAGAGAGAGATATAGAGAGAGAGAGAGATATAGAGAGAGAGAGATATAGAGAGAGAGAGATATAGAGAGAGAGATATAGAGAGAGAGATATAGAGATAGAAATAGAGATAGAGATAGAGATAGAGATAGAGATAGAGATAGAGATAGAGATAGAGATAGAGATAGAGATAGAGATAGAGATAGAGATAGAGAGAGAGAGAGAGAGAGAGAGAGAGAGAGAGAGAGAGAGAGAGAGAGAGAGAGAGAGAGAGAGAGAGAGGGAGGGAGGGAGGGAGAGAGAGGGAGAGAGAGAGGGAGAGAGGGAGAGAGAGAGAGAGAGAGAGAGAGAGAGAGAGAGAGAGAGAAGACATCATCGCGAAAATGGAACCTCAAAACGGATTCAGGGGACCTCAAAACGTAAAAATCCGTTGAAAACTCGATGTCGAAAAAAATAATGATTCCTATACTTTCCTTATATCTGTATACAGATAGGAAAGTAAAAATATTTGTTATAAAAACCAGAAATTAAGTTGAAAGATGGCTGACTCCATGATTCTCGATTTAAGTGTGCTTGATGATAAACTAATTACTTCGAAACAGGTCGCCAATAAAGTGACTGTGAGACACAATCCACTCACCCTCGCCCTTAATGACTCATAATAATTTGGCATTATATGGATAACACCGTGAATACTTGCATTTTGGTTTTTGTAAACAAAATTGGTCTAGTAGCCGTTTGTCTTGTTTAAACTCTTTAGTAGATTGGACTGGTCCATTATTTGTATTAAGTTTAATTTTTACAATTTAAACGTTTTTAAATATGATTGTTCTACTTAATTTTTCATAATTTGTTTTATTAGACAACAATCAAACCTGGATGTACACATGAGAACCCATACGAAAGAAACGCCCTATAAATGCAGCTATTGTGACATGTCCGTTGCGACTAGAACTCGTTTGGTTGATCATGAAAGAACCCATACAGGAGAAAAACCTTTCGTATGCAGATTTTGCGGAAAAGTAAGTTTAGGTACATTTATTTGGTATGATGCACAGAAATCCAGTTTTGGTTTAATTTTACAGGCTTTTAAACAACATGGCGTTTTAAACACACATTTAAAAATACATACTGGAAGAACAGAACAGTGTCTTCTTTGTCCTAAAAGGTTTTGTAGGCCTTCAGAATTGAGAAATCACATGAGAGTTCACACAGGTACACCAATTTATTTTTTATTTCTTTTTATCTAAAATGAAATTTGAAGACGCTAAAAGCAAATTTTTTAGGAGAAAAACCCTATGCATGCTCATATTGTGACAAATGTTTCATTCAAAGAAGTCATTTGGTAGAACATACGAAAATCCATACAGATCACAGACCTTTCAAATGTAACGTTTGTGGTAAAGCATTTAAACAGTCAAGTACCCTTAAAGGTCATCTTAATGTACACGAAGGTAAGCGATGAATAAATGAATAAGTTTTTTGCTTATAGTTATTTTCAATATTTTTAGGTAAAAAGATGTTTAAATGCACCATATGTTCCTACTGTTGCAGAAAAAGTTATACTTTGAAACAGCATCTTTTGCAACATCAAAACACGAGCCAGGAACAAAAATTTTCTTGTGAAATATGCCAAGAAACTTTTTTCAATTTAGAACAATTAAATGTCCATAGAAATACGCCGCACCAAGAAAGCTTGGCAATGACTGAAAATATCGCTCTCGATATAAAATTTTAATATTATAGGTATAGGGTGAAAAGTGTTTTGATGTCAGTCAAGTGGTAACAGAATAGTCACGCCAGATAGAGATTATTTAAAGTATTTTAAACAAAAACCGTTTTAAAGCGATGAACCAGAAATCACCATGGTTATACCCTTGGTTAACCTTGAAATCACGTGACTAAAGCCCTATAAAGATAACCGGTTATTGTAACGCATTAATGTTCAATCTTTTTTAAGGAATATGACAAGAAATTTTGACATTTAATTTCTAGGTTAATTTTATGAAACTGGCCGGAATAAAATTGTGTGATGTTGATATCTTACCAAAAAGAATTGTATTTGTGTAGACTGGATGTTACAATTTCTAGTAATTTTAGTATCGCAGTGGAGGTATAGAATCTAAAAAGACTTTATACTTATGTTTTATTTTAATTTATGCGAGTAACTTTTTACAAATTATTTCACACTCAAAGACTTATGACATATATATCTTGATTGACACTTATGATAGACAGGTTAACCAACCTCTACAAAAATAAACCAAAAAAACTGATTTGCCATTGTGCGAATAGATGTCGCTACTTGTATGTTTGACACAATTTAATAGGGAACAGTTTGACATGTTTTTTACATGGTGTCAGAAGCATTTTTTGATAATTTACGTAGCTATTGTCATTTCCAATTTTGACTGAGCTAATTCTATAATCTAACCAAAAAACACTAATTGCATGTCACTTCCACTTGTCATTATTAACCCACATCTAGACTCAGGTATTTACCGGTTATAATTAATGACGTTTTAATGGGCTTAAATATGACGTTATAGAAAGTAACCAAGGATAACAAACTTCGCTTTAATTAAAACTGTAAATACCACAAATTACCGGTTGATCGCTTTAAAACGGTTAAAATTAACTGATTGATGACATAAGTGTAGTACCAAAATGAAAGACTGTCAATATTCATAACGTCATAGCGTCCCCGAGCATATAAAAGACAATATCACAAACTTTATACGAATAAGGTGTTATTCCTGATTACTGTAAAATTATTTATATCATTTTGATATAATATTGTCCCTTTATTTTATATAATTTATATAGTTGTGTCAACTGTTTGGAAGTAAAAAAAAAAATACTTGTATTAAATATAAAAAACGTAATAATAATTAACGATCTTCTAATTTTATTTATGTTATTAAATATATCTAATAAATAATTTTTATAAGAATTTTTATTGTATTTTAATATTAATTCTGCAGCCTTTATTTTGCCCTCTATACTGGTCCTCCCACTGCTTCAAGCGATTATGGACTCCATCTCATCGAGATATATCTTCCTTAAGCCATATCAAGTTATATTAGAACTAATAGAAAAGCCGGAAATGACAGGTTCAATTCATATTCACACCAACGGTTCTAAAACAAAGCAAGGTTCAGGATGTGTAATATACTCCAGATCTCTAAACCCAAACATAAAATGGGCTGTGGGCAGAAGTGCCAGTATAGTTCAAACATAGCTCACGGGAATTCTCAGCAGCAAAAGAAATCAACAGAAATAATATCACTGGAAGAAACATGTACATAGGTCAGTTTTTTCCTATGAGTGACTCTAAGGTGGAGGAATGCAAAAGGCTTTTAAATATTCTATTCACAATGAGCAGAGTGGATAACAGGTTTTGGGATAGTTATAAAAATGTAAAGAAAGAGTATAACAAGAAACTATTAACTAGAAAAAAAAGAAAGCATTTGGGAAATGAATATCTGACTCTGACAATAAAGCTAAAAATACATGCCAAAAAATGATAAATAGCAAGAATAACCAACATACCATACAAATACCGGGGGAGGCGTCAGAGTAGTGGTATAGATGAGGTACCAACAAAAATTATTAAAAAATGGATTGAGCAAATTGTGAATCCACTAGTATACAGGGTTGGCCAAACCTCTGTCGTATTTCTATAACTCCTACTATGCAAATCTTAACGATTTATTTGACGTATACCTATCAATGGTGGCCAATACCAAATATCCCAAAATTATTTTCTTGTGTACAGGGTGGCCCAATAGTAAATTAGACAAATCACTTAATTTTTTTTTAAATGGAATGACCCAACTTTTTTTACAATTTTAGGTACTCTATGGTCACTAGTACATACCCACAAAATATTGTTTCTAACATCCCACCCCTTTCGCAGAAAAAAAAAAATACCAAAAAATATTACATTTTCAGACGCAAATTAAAATATGCAGTGCTCTCTCGAATTTGATGTTAGAATTTAAAAAACTACGATTGTATAAAACCAATAGACTAAAGATTTTTTTGGACCAAGTTTGAATTTTTTATTTTGTACAGGGTGGTCACAAATTAATTTCACTTTCCAAAAATTTCGAGGGAAATTTTTTAAATTTTTTCAAATGTATTACTCTGTATTTCTATTCATCAACTGGAGGAGAATTTCATACCCTTCCACTTCCCTATGTACTTTCCTATACCTATCTGTCGGCGTTATAAAATAATTCAAAAGGAAGAAAATTACGATAATAAAATTTATTTGAAATTTATCCTGAAACATAAATTTACATTTTATAAAAGATGCTCAAAATGTCTGCCATTTTCTCTAATGCATACATTTATTCGTTGGGCGAATGATCGAGAAACGTTTCTGAGCATATCAGGTGTAATGGAATGGAAAGCTTGCACTATCCTTTCTTTCATATTTTCAGGTGTTGTAGGTGGCGAAACATAGACTAGATTTTTAATATAACTCCACAAAAAATAATCGGGTTTTGTTAAGTCAGGTGATCGAGCTGGCCATTTTTTTGGACCATTTCTACCAATCCATCTATTTGGAAACTTTTCATCTAATTCATCTGCCACTTCGCGTAAAAAATGCGCTGCTGCCCCATCATGTTGGTACCACATTGTTAGTCTTACAGCAAGGGAAATGTTTTCAAGTAAAGTAGGAAGATGATTTGCTAAAAAATCTAAATACATCAGACCATTTAAGTTGCCTTCAAAAAAATACGGCCCAATAACATGATCCCCAATTATTCCTCCCCAAACATTTACACTCCATCTTTCTTGGCTATGTGTTCTGATGATGTTAGGATTTTCCGTGGAATAATAGTGGAAATTATGTCTATTAACGAATCCGTTCTTGTGGAATGTAGATTCATCAGAAAACAGCCCTCTATAAAAAAAAAATGGATTTTGTTGCAGTTTAGTTTGTGCCCAGTTACAAAACACCATTCTATTATCAAAATCGGTGTCTTTCAGCTCTTGATGCAATTGTATTTTATAAGGATGATATTGATGCTGTTTTAAAATCCTTCTAACGGATGTTCTACTTATACCTACTACTTCGGCAATCTTTTTTTGACTTACATGAGGATCTTCTATCGCTGTCAAAATTACAGATAATTGGTTATCATTATCAGTAGAACGTTTGTCAATTATTGTTTTTTTATAAGCAACATTTCCTGTTTCGGTAAATCTTTCATGTAACTTTTCAAAACTTTTTTGATCAGGGATGCGTCTATCGGGATATCGTTGATGATAAATTCTTTTTGCCAATAAACAATTTCTGTCGGATTCTCCCAAAACATAGACCATGTCAATTAATTCGTTTTTCGTAAAATTCATTATTAATAGAAGAATTATCGCGATCAGTAAAAATAACTTGACACTTCATTAATAAATAATCTGACACTTCATTAAGACCCAGCCTACTTGATTGAATGTTCACTTTCAATAAAAGCACTGGTAGAAATTGGATTTTTGATAGATCAATGTCTTTTTGGAATTTACTTTTAAACGACGACAGATAGGTATAGGAAAGTACATGGGGAAGTCGAAGGGTATAAAATTCTCGTTTCATCGATGAATAGTAATACAGGGTGTTCTATTTGAAAAATTTGAAAAAAATGTCCTAGAAATTTTTGGAAATTGAAATTAATTTGTGACCACCCTGTAAAAAATAAAAAATTAAAACTTGGTCTAAAAAAATCTTTGGTCTATTGGCTTTATACATTTGTAGTTTTTTAAATTCTAACGTCAAATTCGAGAGAGCACTGCATATTTTAATAGGCGTCTGAAAATGTAATATTTTTTGGTATTTCTTCTTTTTCTGCGAAAGGGGTAGGATGATAGAAACAATATTTTGTGGGTATGCACTAGTGACCATAGAGTACCTAAAATTGGAAAAAAAGTTGGGTCATTCCATCCATTTAAAAAAAAATAAGTGATTTGCCTAATTTACCATTGGGCCACCCTGTACACAAGATGAAAATAATTTTGGGATATTTGGTTTTGATCACCATTGACAGGTATACTTCGAATAAATCGTTAAGATTTGCATAATAGGAGTTATAGAACTACGACAGAGGTTTGGCCAACCCTGTATATTCAATTCAATTTATTTAGTAATACAGTCATTAGTCTACATTTTTTCATTATATAATAGTACAAACTGTTAGATGAGGAGCACGAAAACAAACTAAAAACCTAGGTGAAGTGCCTGTGTTGTCTTTTTATTAATTTCCGGACCCCTTCTCAATTATGTATTAATTTATTAACCATTTATATTGGCAAAAATTCTATCTAGTATGAAAGATACATATTTTTGTAGCAAGAAATATGATAAAAATAAGAAAAAATAAATTAAATAATAATTATATACAAAAATAGACAATGTGGAGAAGAGATCAGCAGAAGAAAAGTAAATTTTGTTAAATAAACAAACAAGGACAGTCAGTAGTAAGTTATGTTTATGCGTATAAAACTATTTGCACATGACTATAGGTATAGAATGATTTGCACGTGACTAGATATATTGGTAAGCTTATGAGAGTAAGTAGTAAAAAGTATTTGGGGAATTTATTATATACTTCTTTGTTTCCCTCTTAAACAGGTTTTTGTCTATATTTTTAGGTTTGGTGGAAGAACATTAAAAAATTTCGGACCGAAATAAAAGTAGGATCGTTGAGTGACTGCTTTTTTAAAGAGAGGGACACAGAGTTCCATATTAGTAGCTGCTCGTGTTTTACCTGTATTTTTAAATTGATATTTTTCAGTAGAGTTATGTATTCTTATTAAACACTGAAGAGTAAAAAGTAATCTTATGTTCATTATTTTTGTTTCATTGTACAAATCATCGGTGGAAAACAATTTATTCTTTTTAAATATAATTTTTAATAGTGTATTTTGAATTGTTTGTAATGTTTGTAGAGTGGTATTAAAGGTGCCTCCCCATACAGTAATACAATATCTTAGAATCGATTCGGCTAGAGAATTATAAAGAATTATCAATTTTTTTCTAGATAAAATGTTTCTTAGAATATAAAATTGATGTATTAGGGCTTTTAAACGCTTACTAATATGTATTATATGATCTGACCAACCAAGATGTTGATTTATAATCACCCCTAGATACTTCATAGTAGAAACTTTTTCAATATTTGTACAACTACAGTTATTATTTATGCAATCTAGTTCATGTAGTTTTATAGTAATCTCTTGTGGCTGATTTGTGACTAAAGCAGTAAAGGTAACATATTTTGTTTTATCTACGTTAAGCGTTAGTTTATTGTAATTTAACCATAGTCGCAACTTGTGCAAGTCAGACTCAGTAGAAGTTTTTATTTCATTCCACAGAGTTGGACTTGGTATAAATAGCCGGCTTATCGGCGGACAGTTTAGTATAGAGTATTGGACTGAAAAGTTAAATTGTATTAAATAAATTAGAATTGTGAGTTAGTGTCTAAGTATTATACAGCATGGTTCAAATGAAAGGAATAAATTCATTATAATGGATGTAGTTGGTTTTTCGAAAAAAATGCTCGGACAGGTCAATTTTGTTTACTCAAAGTGCAATTTTTTAAATAGAATTCAATTTTCCCCCACTTCCCGTCTTTGGGCAGTGACGTCATTGACAATTTTTTTAAATAGTAACCCCAATTTGTTTTTCTTGATTTTGAAAGATCTTGCAATTTCCTAATCGGAAACATAATATTTGAAATATCTGACATAAAATTTTTTTTGAATAAAAGTCATTTAAAGATCAGATACATAAATTTTATTTTATTTTGAAACATAATAAATGAATAAAAGATTTTTGTAATTAAGTGCTTCATCTAAAATAATAATAATAAAAAGAATTTAATGACAATTTCACAAATTCTTTTTATTATTATTATTATTATTTATTGTTTTTTTACATTTCGTCGGCTTTAAGCTGACGGAAACAATGTGTAGTGAGAAGGCAATTCACCCTATCTCACTTGTTTATTTTGGTGTTCTTTTATTATAGCTGTATGCTTAGATATTAAAGAATTTGCGTACAATATGGCATGTTTGTAGAATGGCCGCTTTCTGTATTCTCTTAATAGTGTTGTTGTTTATTTCTAATAATTTAATTTGATGTTCTAAACTCTTAGACACCACTCCTGTAACAGACACCACTATTGGTGTGATTTTTATATTTTTCAACTCCCAAATATGTTTGATTTCTATAGCCAAATTTTCATATTTATTTCGTTTTTCTGTTTCAGTTTTAGTTATATTATTATCTAGAGGGCATGCTATATCTATAATCCAGGCAGTTTTAAGTATTTTGTTAATAAGAAGAATGTCTGGCCTATTATAGTCAACTGTTCTGTCCGTCAATGTTGGGTTGTCCCAGTACAATACTGCATTATGATTTTCTAATACCTGTGGAGGATTGAATTTGTAGTATGGCTCGGGATTTTCGAGCAGTTCGAAGTTTTTTGCTACTTCGATGTATATTATTTTGGCTACTTGGTTGTGTCGGCCTAAGAATGCAGTATTTGACAAAGCACTACAGCCAGCAGTAATGTGCTCTATTGTTTCCCCTACCTTATTGCACTTTCTACAGTTGTCTTGAGTGTTTAACTTCATAATATGCCTTTCATAATTCCTGGTGCGTACGACCCGGTCCTGTATGGCTATTATGAAACCTTCCGTTTCAGGGTGTAGTTCACCTGTTTTTAGTCAGATCAGGGATTTTTCTTTATCATTTGCAGTATTGTCTAATGTCCCAGGATATGTTCCATGTAATGCCTTGTTTTTCCAGATTTCTATTTGCTGCTGTTCATCAGAAATATGTATCAAGTGTTCTGCGTTACCTAGTTTTAGTGGTGTATAATTATCATCAACCTCTCTTATTTTGGCTATTAATCGGCTTTCAGAGTTTAAAAAGTATTTCCTTATGTCTAATTCTTGTTTTCGGCACAAGTTTTCAATATTTATAAGCCCTCTTCCTCCTTTTGATCTAGGAAGGTATAAGCGTTGGATGGCTGATTTAGGGTGATGGGATCTAAATTTGGTAAGATGTCTTCTAGTTAGTCTGTTTAGTTCATCCAGATCTACTTGAGAATACTTCAATAGGCCAAAGGAGTATGTTAACACAGGTATCGCCCACATATTGATAGCTGTTAAAAGATTTATTGCATTTAATTTGGTATTAAGCAATTTTGTTATTCTATTGCGGTATTTTTCTTTAAATTCATTCTTTAGAAATGTGTGGTCGATTGTCTTGTTTTGAGCTATTCCTAAATATTTATGTTTCATTTGGTTGTAGAGGCTCTATTCCTTGGATGTTATTTTCCTCTTCTACTAATTTCCCCCTACAAATTGTTATATATGCGCATTTGTCTAGTCCAAATGACATGCCAATATCACTGCTGTAATTCTTTGTAGTTTGTATCAATTCGTTCAGTTGTTTTTTGGATTTGGCATATAATTTGATATCGTCCATGAACATGAGGTGGTTTAGTTGATACTTTGCCCTAGTATCAATCTCGTAGCCTAATCCAGTGCGATTAAGTAGAGTTGGGAGGGGGTTTAGTGCTATTACAAACCATAATGGGCTTAATGAATCTCCCTGGAAAATGCCTTGGGCAATTTTTATTTCTCCTAAGACCCCTTGATTAGAATGCAATTTTACTCTCCACGTCTCCATAAAACTTGACAGTAGTGAACATATTGTTGGGTGGATTTTGTATAACTTCAGAACTTCTTTTAGCCAGTTATGTGGAACAGAATCAAAGGCTTTGGTATAGTCTATATATGCCATATTTAGATTTCTCTTTTTGTTATGAGCTTGTTTGGTAACGACAGAATCGATAGTAAGTTGTTCCTTACACCCTAAGCTCCTTCTGATACAACCTTTCTGTTCAATTGCTATTAAGTTATTTTTTTCACAGTGTTCATAGATTCTGTTTTGAATTAGGGACGTAAAGAGTTTGTATAACACTGAGAGGCAAGTTATTGGCCTATAGTTGCAGGGTTCATTGGTATCACCTTTATTATAAAGTAAGAAAGTATTTCCTACACCCAAGAATTTAGGAAATTCTTCCAGGTTTCCAATGATTTGGTTAAAAGAGTTTGCCAATGATTCATGTAGTGGGGTAAATTTGTTTAACCAAAAGTTCTGAATTTTGTCAGGGCCTGCAGCTTTCCAGTTAGCGGTTTTTCTAACTGCTTGCTTTATTTCATCAGGTGTTAACATTACATCTCTCATATCATTGTTAATTTCAATATTTTGACGAACTTCTTCAAGCCAGTCGGTATCCACCTTTGCATTTGTTGTTTTAGACCAGATATCTGTCCAATAGTTATTAAAAGCTTCTTTGTCAATGATGTCATTTTGTGGGCCCAGGTTAGTTGTTATTGATCGAAAAAACTTTTGAGGGTTTTGTTGGAATTGGCGATTCTGGAGTTTTCGCTTAGTCATTTCATTATATCTTCTTAATCTAGCCCCCTTCATTTTATACCTTTGGCGTAAATTATCTTTATGATTTAATAACTTTTGGTAGAATTGTTTATCATTTTTCTTTAGTTTCAGTTTTTTGCAAATACTATTTATTTTATTTTTAAGTCTATTATTATGGTTAATACCTTTCAGATATTCTCCGATAATGTCTGCCTCACTTCTCATTTTATTTATTTGGTTTTCAAGTCTAAGTCTCCATTCTGGTACTTTATCGGGTTTTTTCTTTATATTTGCTGTAGTGTAGGTACGTTGACCATTAATTTCCGTAACTGTTACTGCTGCTGAATATATAGATAGATGTAAGGCACTCAAGCTGATAATTTTAGTAGCATGCTGTTCTAATACGGCGTTTATTTGGGCTATGTACATTTCTGTATTTCTATTAAATGCTAGCTTGGGTAGGCAGGGTCTGTCAAGAGGGTCGGTGTCTTTATATTTTTCGTAGTTTTCTAGATACTTCTTTTCGGCTATATTTTCGTCTACATGTACTACGTTGTCTTGATTTTCTTGTTCTTCGGCCATAGCAATTTTAGCATTATATATAGTATTACCTACCTCTCTCCTAATGAGATCAATTTCTGATTTTTGTAGGTATCCTTTCCTATATATTAAATTCCTTCTATCGGCAACATTTTGTACTGATAATCTAAGCTCTGGGTATATTTGTGTGACTTCTGCATGAAGTTTGTACCTCCATCCGGGTAATGGATTATTATTATTATTATTTTGTTAGATTAAGCACTTAATTACAAATAATTATCTTTTATTCATTTATTGTGTTCTCAAAATAAAATAAAATTTTTGTGTCTGATCTTTAAATGACTTTTATTCAAAAAAAATTGTTATGTAAGATATTTCAAATATTATGTTTCCGAGTAGGAAATTGCAAGATCTATCAAAATCAAGAAAAAAATTGGGGTTACTATTTGAAAAAATTGTCAATGACGTCACTGCCCAAAAATGGGAAGTGGGGGAAAATTGAATTCTATTTAAAAAATTGGGCTTTGAGTAAACAAAATTGACCTATCCGAGCATTTTTTCGAAAAACCAACTACTTCTATTATAATGAATTTATTCCTTTCATTTGAACCATACTGTATAATACTTAGACACTAACTCACAATTCCAACTCTGTTACAAGTCTCTAGACGCTCCCGAAAATTCCATCTGACTCAACGGCACGCTCCGCCCGTTCTAACCGTTTCTCGAGCGTCAGCGGCATACCTAAAAGATTTCGAGCATGAGTCGGGTGCCAAGCTGAAGGCCACTTGCTTTAGACAGGGTCGGCTTAGGAATTTCAGGACAGTATTATTGACCAAAAACATTACACGAAAACCTATTTTATTAATTTCTAAACTATTGAAATCTTACATACGACCTTCTGGTTTTAAGAGGACCATATTTAAGGTCTCAACTAGTATCAAGTTTCTGGGACTATATATTAATAGGTTTCAGTGCTGGGAAAGCCATGTTGAGTTTGCAGGGGATGGATAATAGAAAATTTGTAATCTGCGAGAACTGGCTAACACCGGCCGATATAAGAAAAGCACCTTTTGTCGACGTTGTCAACAATATTAAATCTGTAGGCTGGCTCACGAGCTAGGAGGTGCCTATCTACTTAGGAGGATGCACAATGGGCCTAGTGAGGCCTAAGTGCCGTGGGTTAACCCACTCTCCACACGTTACAGATACAGAGAGATCTATACCAGTCCTATTTCTTCCAAATTGCAGTGGTATGAAAATAAAGTTATTAAACGTTTTTATATTTTATTAACAAACTTAAAAAATTTAACAATATAAAATTTAGAGTTCTTCTTTTTCTTTCAAAACCAACTGGTCAAGAATAACGCGAGTTTCTTCTTTGATTTCTCTAAAATAATAATAGTATTAAGTATTATAAATTATTTTTTAACAAAAATCTACCTTTTTAATGAAGTATCTGTCTGTTCCAAAAATAGATCATAAATGCCCATTTTATTTAACAAGCCTAAAGCATTTTTTGCTGCACTATTTCTAGCCATAAATTCCGTGTTACCTTCTCCAAAACAGGTCTAAAAAACATATCAATTACAAATATTTTACAGTTTATAATGACATATTGCATACAAATCATATATTTTTAATTAAACAAAATACTTCTAAAACCATTATCAAAATGGCCAAGAAATTATTAAATGTTTCAATGTTTATTGGTCTTTTTTTAATTGGTATGTCAAATGTCATCGAGTTTGACAAGCCCCATGAAAGAATTGTCAAATCATATATTTTTAATTCAACAAATTACTTCTAAAACAATTATCAAAATGGCCAACAAATTATTAAATGTTTATGACAGAATAGACACATATCGTTGACCTGAGAAAAAAATCAAATCTTGAACATTTAAAACAATTATTTAAATTGTAAATTATATTTTAAAAGCTTACGTATTCTGGATTCATTAAAAGGGACAACAGAGATCCATGCTTATTATCCTCCTTGAAATCTGTAAAACCAACTTTAACATTTAAAACATTGCTAAGTTCTAAAAGTTCATCTTGTGATGTTTTTGAATTCCCACTTGCAGTTTTAGAGTCTCTCTTTTGTTGTGTATCTGTCTTTTTAATGTCGCTTCCTTCAAACTCGTCATTAGAATCATTTATCTTAAATAATACCATTGTAAATAATTATTATATACCAAGTAGTATTCCTTCTAAAAGACTTTTAATAAAGGAAAACATTATAGTTTAGATTTTTACCTGATTGTCTTCTCCAAAAATATTCTTTGCAAATCCAAGAACGGTTTTTCCTACATTATCTAAAGCCATGCTGATTTCATCTATTTTATTTTTAATCATCTTAGTCTTCTTTCTTTTCCTTTTCTTTTTGTCCTTACCTGTGTGAGGGATTTGTATTTCAACTGGTTCGAAATCTTTTAATTTTTCCAACATATTTTCAGCTGCAATTCTTAAATAAAAAATGATATGATTAATTATTTTGTAAGATAAGAGATAAAATAGAAATAAATTAAGTAAAAGCGTTATATTTGTCAAGAAAATATAAGACATTTTAATTGTAAAATTATTTTAAAATACCTACATCAAAAAATATTTCTAATCAATGTTTTACCTTTTAGATTCTTTTTTTGAGAAACCTTCCCCCGTGGATATTATGTCACCCAAACGACACTCTGTTAGAAAACTTCTTTTGTGTGAAGGTCCAGATTCTTTTATTAACTCAAATTCTACACTAAGTTGCCGCTTTTGAGCTTGCTCATGAACTTTTGAAATCGGCGACTTTAGTTGTTCCTTATTTTTTTTACAATCTTCTTCTAAACCTAAAAAAAATGTATTGCATCGCAACTTATATAGGAACAAGAGAATATATTTATTTTTTTCTCTTTAAAGAACAGAAAATATTGATATTGATCACAAATAGTTGGAGAGAATAAAGTCATATACCTAGTTTTATTAATATTTAAAGATATACATTTTTTTCAGATCCAACTGTGTGGTATGTTTCTGTAAATCCAATTTGTATACAGAAATAATTTTTGTTTAGAATTTGGCATTAAATATATTTTTTTCTACACCCAGATGGATATTATCTATTCTACACACAAATTATAAAACAAAAAAATATGCCATTGCGTTCAACTGAACGAATATATGTAATATCCATTCTACCTAGTAACACTACACAATTATGAAATCCACCAATCAAAGTTTATATTTTGATCACTGGGTTACTATTATTTTTTTAAATTTTAAACAAGTTACAATTCTGTCAAACTAATTGTAAGTATATCGTGGGCGTAAATGGAAAATCTACTAAGTACAAATATGTAGTTTTTAGAAAAATAGATTTTAATATTTTTTTAAATTTACACGTTTATTATTATTGAACTGTGTACGTAAGTTGGCAGCATATGAAAAACTTTTTTATTGTTAATATTAGGAAAAAAGTTATTCGTCATAAAAAGTCGAGCATGGTCTAAAGCCTAAAATACAACTATCAGATATCAAATTTTATTAGTCGTGTACGAGGTTTGTCAAAAATAAAGGTACTTTACGCTTCAGCAAAATTAATATTTTTTGACAAACCATGTATACGGCTTGAAAAAACAAAATGATATCCATTGGTTGCATTTTATGTTTTGAACCAATGCAGAACTTTTTATAAAAAAATATTTTTTTTTTTTCATAAAAAAGTTTCTCATGTGGTTTCGACTTAATTGGACACACTGTATAACAAAGACTGAAAAAAATAAAAGCATTCATTCAAAATACATACTCAAAAAAAATTAAATATTTTGTTGACTTTCGATTAACCTTTCAAAAATTTGTTCTTGTTTTTAATTTTCATTATTATTTGCATTTTCTGTCCATTTTAATAATTTTCATGTTTCACTAATTACTTTATTGTTTAATGTTTCCAGCTTTTTTAAATAAAAAAAATGTTAATAATTTTATTTTATTTTAATAAATTTGTCCATATATAAAAAATTCTATTCAACTGTAGTACCTTACTAAATAAAAGTAACAAAAATCCTTTCAATAAAATACTGATTTAAACTGCTTTCTCTGATATTATCTACTAGATATTGGGGACTATTCTGTAACAATTCCTTTATATTTTAACGGCTGTTAAAATATTGGAGGCCTTTAAAAATATTTTCGTATTTACTAAATTGCTTTTGTCATTATTTAAACGGATTCCTTTAAAATACATTAGAGAACTATTATAAAGAAATCCGTTTAAATAATGACAGTAGTAAATTAGCGAATACGAAAATATTTTTAAAGGCCGCCAATATTTTAACGGCCGTTAAAATATAAAAGAATTGTTACAGAATAGACCCCATTAACTTTAAAAACCGCAAACAATGGGCCCGTTCACTTTCATTTTTGAATGTGAATTAATTATATATTTATAAAGATATTAAACTCTTTTGTCTGGTGGTACTTTTCCCGTTAAGATATTTTTGCTAGAAGTAAGGGAATTCCCATAAAATTCTTTCAGTGACTCATTGCGTCAGAAAATCCCTAATTCCGTTCACGTCTCGTATCGGTTATGCTTAAAGACGGCGAGGTTGTCGAAAGTATCCCTAATATAGCATTTCTGCATTTATATATGTAATTTAAATAGTAAAATTCCATTATTTTTCTAAAAATTATGAACTTATATTTTCAGATTTAAAGCTGGGAGCTTATTTTTTACTTTTTAATTAAAACAATTATTATTACTCAGGCTGAAAATTAACCAGACCATAATAAAAAAGTAGAAATTTGATTTGCAGTATTTATCTGGTAAACGTGGCAACGTTGCATTTATTTCTAGAAGTGTGTGTAGACAACACTATTTAGAAGTACTTACAACGTTGTCACGTTTACCAGATACATTTTCTCAAATAAAATTTCGATCTGGTAATATTCAGCTTCAGTAATAGTAATTGTTTTTATTAAAATTTAAAGAAGGTAAGGCTTCCAGCTTTATCTGAAAATATAAACAAATTATTTTTAAAAAATAATATATTTTTATCATGTAAATTTATTTAATAAATGCAGAAGAGGAATGGTGGTGCAATGATACATCCGACAACCGCGCCCTTTTAACTATTAACCGATACAAGACCTGAAGGGAATTAGGGGTTTTCTGACACAATGAGTCACTGAAAGAATTTTATGGGAATTCCCTTACTTCTAGCAAAAATATCTTAACGGGAAAAGTACCACCAGACAAAAGAGTTTAATATCTTTATAAATATATAAATAATTCACATTCAAAAATGAAAGTGAACAGGCCCATTTCTAGTAATAAAATTTCTCGCTAATAAAGATTTTTTATTTTATGACTTAGGTCTATTCACCTAATATGCCAGTCTTATGTCTATAAAGATAGCATGGCAAAGTCATAACAAGCCCGCAGAGTGACTTATACTATATTTTTTGCTATTTTTTTACCCAATTACCGAGAAACATTGGCCATTGATACTAAAGCATAAAGTACTTTACATAAGTTCATACACCACTTCAGTTTAGTTGTTTCATTTGTTGTTTAAGGGTGAGATTATAGAACGTCTGCAACTTTGCAGATCTGCAAATATGACGGCAACTTTGCAGATCTGCAAATATGGCGGACTTACAGATGCAAGTATCCAAAAAATATCTGCAAATTCGCAATATTACCTCTAACAACACTAAATCCCAAATCCACCATTAAGAAGATTAGAACATCCTACAACCATGAAGTCTTCTGTTTCTTTTGACTGAATACAGTTCATGGTGTCAGATTATCGAGTTTTTAAACAGTAATGGATTTGGGTTTAGTATTGTTGGGAGTAATAAACCATAATAAATATTGCGAATTTGCAGATCTTTTTTGGAATACGAAAACTTGATACATGCATATATAAGTCCGCCATATTTGCAGATCTGCAAAGTTGCAGACGTTCTGTAATCTCACCCTAAGTAATTATTTTGAATTAAGCGTTTTTTCTTCAATACTTAGAGGATTAACATCTTCATTTTCTCGGCTATTTTTTAAAATTTAATGAAATTTTAAACGAGTATTTGTGATGCTTTACGAAACGTTCCAGTTACCTCAAAGTTTTCTACATGGTACAAATACAGAATTACACTACCTAGTTCCAGTTACCTCAAATTCCTGGGTAACTGGAATCTACTGACAAAAAAAATTAAAAATTCCCTTGAAGCTCATAAAAACATTTTTGTTTTTAAGCCGTTATTGCCAGGTGATTTACAAAGGTGTAAATTGCATACCCATAGAATCTTAACCATTTTTCTTTGCAGGTTCGTTTAGTACATAGTTGCAAATTTAAGTGTTGTAAAATTAGGTTCCAGTTAACCAATTTGACCTTATTGTAATCGTGAAAAAGTCACCTTCCGAGATTATTTGAGATGTTCACGTTTTAGGGTCCCTAGATCACCAAAAACATGTTTCCCCATTCTGTCTATCTGTCTTTCTGTTTGTTGTCACGATAGCTCAAAAACGGTTTTATAGAAAAACTTAAGTTCTTTTCTGGCTCAAAACCAGTTATACTTCCGATCTGTTATATCAGGGGGAGCTTTTTTTAATGATTTGTAGAAGTCGTTTGATTTCGACCAAAATTGGTACCTGAGAATTTTAGAAGCCAAAGATAACAGATCCTTAATAAGTTTTTAAAAATTCAAAATGGCGTTGTAAGGAATCGTATTTAATCAAAAAAGGTCCCCCTTGAAAGGAAATAATAAAGCTCGTCTTTTCGGTTTGTGTAACTGGACCTTTTAAAAGCAGCCAATCATTATTGTTCAATAAAAGTGAAGTTGATGAAGAATATCCAGCGGGCTCGAAGTGAGATTTCTGGTGGGATCAAGAGGAAGATCGATGGAGAGAGAAATATGAAAAAGAGTTTTTGGTTTGGTGGTTTTAATTATTAAAATTTAAGTACTTAGGCGTTCTCTGTGTTTTTACAATTTCTATATCGAGGAAAGTTCTGGGTGAAATACTTTACCGTTTTTTTTATTTTTGTGTTGTCAGATAATTTTTATCCTGTTAGGTAACAGCATACTAATGGCCTTACGTTCAAAATTATATTGTCACGATTATCAGATTTATATAAAAAAAATTCAACCGACCTTTTGGTTTATCGAGTTCAATGTGGTAGTGTGTACCGACAAATGATCTACTATGAGTAGATTATCTTTGAATTCCTGACATGAAAAAATAAAAATATTTCGACGTCAAAATACCGAGTGCCTATTCTGATTCTATATATTGCTTTTTAAGGTTTTTAATATTTACATTTTTAAAATACCGGGTGGTCCATTAGTGCAAGGAATCCAATATCTCTCTTATCATAAGAAATATGAGAACATGTTTTAAATAAAAGTTATAGCATTTACTTTTTGCATATTTCTTAAATACTGTGAGAGATACAGGGTGTTCAGTTACATCTAGATAGCTTTAATATTTGTTTTTAAATGTTTTTTTTTTCACTATTGATTTCAGCGGAATTTTTTTTTTTTTAATTCTGCGACATTGTCAAAAAATGTGAAAAATACTAAAAAAATTGTTCATGACAAATTTTATAAAAAAAAAACTTTAGTTACCTATTGATAGTTAAGTTAAAATAATTGATAAATACAAAGATAATGAAGGATTAGCTGAAATGTATGAGATAATCGAAAGGTTATTTTTATATACAGGCGATTATATACACAGGGGTATCAACTTGTTAATCTATAAACATCTAAAACTTCAAATTGACCACCCAGTATGTTATTTCACTATTTGTTATTTTTTATTATAATATAGTTTTTGACAAGTTTTAATTTTAATTAAAAGAAACATTGGACTTAAACTCACTAATGAGCCACCCTATACAAATTTAATAAGCGTTTAAGATGCTAAAAAAGTAAATTATAATTTTTTTAATAATACATGTGGAAAGACCTATACTTCTACATTATGTACATTTTTAATTGAAATTGATATATCTTCTCGTTTTCAAAAAAAAAAAAAACAGAAAAAGTAGAGACCCTTGCAGGATAGGCGATTAACTAAGTGAACGTTTAGAAACATTAAAATAATATTTGCAGACATGCGAAGTACGCAATTTTGGACTAAATGCTTTTTGCACCTTGCCAAATAAAATTGCCACGCCTTCTAGACAACATTGTCGAAGTGTTTACCTGTAACTAACTCTTTTAATAATCATTTAATAGAAATAATGTTTCTACAATTTTACTTTACTTTAATTAACAATGTAGATATAATGGAATCAAAAAATACAACAGGACAACAATTATATGATTCATATTAAATAAGAGAAAGGTTTGGTAAATTACAACTTATCTTACCTTCACGTAAACAAGCAAAATCTAATGTATCTCTATTTATCGCCAAGAACTCCAAAGCTAATGAGGCTACCTCATGCCTCCCAGACTGTATTGAATGTGAGGTGGCATAAAATACATGCTCACCAAACTTGAGTTTAATGCGAAAAGGTCCTTTGGTAGAATCTATATCTTTCTTCATATGCAACTTTTTATCAGAATAGATAGAATCATTTAATTTTTGGACATATGATTTAGTTTTTTCTGTTAACACAATATTTGAGTGTAGTATTTGCTAAAAATAATCAAATTTTAACGTCTGAACACATACATGACAAATTAAGAAGGTAATCTTGTAGTTGAAGAGTCTGAAATTGTGCCTTGTTCCCACCATTCTCCTTCCGGCTAGTTCTGACAGTTGGAATCGTTACATATAGTTGCCAGGTTATAGTTAATTATTTGGAACCAGGGAATAAGCATATTGAAATAACTATTTTACTTTTCATTTATTTAGTAAGAAAATAAAAATAGCTAATTTTAACCAGGATAAGAGCAACGATGACATCAAGAATTGCATTATAAATCAAAATAACCTAGATAAGGAAATAGAAATTGTATTTATAAAAAAACCGCGTACTGGAAACAAAACGATTATTTGTGAATGTAGTCCAAAAGTTTTTAACCAAATAATGCAAGAAGGTAAAGTTAATATTGGTTGGGAAAGATACACAGTGTATGAGGACCTTGACATACCAAGATGCTATCAGTGTCAAGGATATTACCATAATAAACAAAATTGTACAAAAAAAATGGTCTGTTTTCTTTGTGCTGAAGAACATCTAAGAGAAAACTGTCCTAAAACTAAAGTGTGTGCTAATTGTAAAAATTCAAATATTAATTTTAAATCCAACTATCCAACTGATCACTGCGCCACTGATTCAGAGTGTAATACCCCAGTATGACAGTTTATTGGCGATTCAAATTAATTTTCGCGCGCCTGTCATTTGTCATCTATAAGTAGGATGTTTGTTTATTTACATGTTTTTGTTTTGGACGGATTTTGTATTTGTGATTTTTTTAACTGTTTTTAGATAATATTCTCATTGTAATCGTGTTTTTGAGTTTCATTTAGTGTTAATTTAAGTTTAAGTCTCGTGCTTTCGTCATAAATATAATATTTATCATGTGTATGACTTAATTTGTTGGAAATATTTACCTATTGGTTACTACAAGAACATCTAGAAATATGTATTCACTAAACCCAGGACATGTGTTGTATTATGTGGTTTAAAGGACATTTCAGGTACCACACGTTTATTATTGATGAACTTATTTAAAAATCTTACTATACTTATTCTTATATTATGAAGTGAATCATGTAGTACTTTGTATACATGTAAATGGTAATAAAACCGTCAAAAAATAAGATTTCAGTTTGATTCTAAACAAAGTTTCGTAAAATTTCAATATTGTGAATTTGTAGATATCCATTTATCGTAAAAAACAAAATTTTACGACTTGTACTTGGAAAATAATGAATCTTCAGTTTTGATTTTGACATTAACACCATATAGATTGCAATTTTCTGGGGACTTCGTCACAGATTTCATTTTTAATATAAACACTATCACATGCTATAAGAAAAAAACAAATTTAAAGCTAAAAAGTAAAAAAAACTCTATTTGTAATTGATACAAATTAAAATGTAAACAATGAACATGAACGCCAATGTTGCCAAATGATGAACTGATTTTAAAACAAAATTAATAAATGAACTGAAATTTAAAAAAAATCAATATAATAAATCGGTTTTATAAAAAAATCCTTAAATAAATATAGAGTATCATAACATACACAAATTTTGATTCTTAAATAAAAGGTTTTATCCACTTCTTCCAGAGCTAAAATCCGACGACGTAGCGAAGTTTTGCTACTTCTGGCAACACTGAACGATATCCTACTTATTGGGACCTTCTACAAATTTCCTCCAGAGGGCGTATCACTTAGCTTGAATCGCGAATTGTTTATGAGTGTTCCATATTTTTCTGCGCATGTCCGTAAATCAAACTGGCATGTGAATTGTCAATGGATTAATGGTAGTTGATTGTTTTGATTATCTGATTGGTTGTAATGCACATTTTAATACATTTTTATTATATTTAGACTTAGTTTTCATCTTTAATTTATTGTGTGATATTTTATTCAATAGACAAAAAGTGTCAAGATATTTTAAAATTACTTATTTCAGCGTAGAAATAAGCGGCAAAAACGTCAACTGTCAATAAAAATCTGACCACCCCGACCACCCCCGTCATTGCGTTCGGTCTGCCAAGTTCCTTTAACACTTTTAACTACAAACGACCCTTTTAGCGTTCGGTTTAGTCCTATTAGTGACAGTTTAACACGCTTATGTCATTTAAAAGTATCCTAAAAAACTCCGCTTTTGTCCCGCTCCAGCCCCTGACTATCCGAACTCGCCTTGTATTATTAATTATACTGGGGTAATACTCTGAAATATTTCAAATAGGTTCTTAAAAATAAAACAACCTATTGTGAAAATTAATTTCTTATCTTTGCTTTCTTTTTTGTTTTAATTTAATCTCAACATTATAATAGTTTTTACTAATTTATCACAATTTAAATAATCTTTCTCTCTTTTATGGATATAGCAGAAATAAATATTTTTAATGAGATTGCAAATGAGATTGAATTAAATATAAATTCTCGTTACGACTTAGACAATTTTTTAAATATTATCAGTTGCAATAATTATTTAACAACCTTAATAAAAATTTTGCATTTGAATATTAGAAGTATAAAAAATTTTTTTAGAAACTTTTGGTTTAAAGGAGTTTGATATAATAATATTAGGAGAAACACGTAATGTTATTGAACTTGATAATTTAATTATACCTGTTTTTATCAATATATTTAATGAAAGAGTGAATAATCAATGTGATGGTGTAGTCATATATATTAAAAGCAACATTCAATTTGAAATAGAACATACAAAGTTGCTTCTATCAAATGTAACAATAAGCTCAATAACATTAGTCATAATGGTGTGCCCTATACAGTAATGCCTTGTTATAAATCTCCATCCATATCAGATGATACATTTCTTACAGATTTTGAAAATTTCTTAAATAATATACCAAGAAGGCTAGGAATGGATATATTTATTGGTGACATTAATATTAATATCCTAGATCCCTCAAACCAAATAATAAATAGATATTTGGTAATGTTATCTTCCTTGGGATTTGTATCATATAATAATTCATACATCAGGGTTTCTGTAAAAACGAAATCATGTACTGATCATATTTTTATAAAAAATAATATGACAATAAAAATTCTTCATTTAAATCGTTGGTAACTGACACTGATCTAACTGAACATTTTCCTATTTTTTTAAATATTACAACAAACGAAAGAAACTCTAACCATAATACATTAAACCAACATACAACACAATACACCGATATAGATAGATTTAGAAAATGTAAACCGGGACAACGTCATTTCTCTTAGCAATCCAATTTTGGCCTACCAGAAATTTATTGAAATAATATATTCCCTAAAAGAACAATGTAATATAACTAATAAGCATAATACTTATAAAAAAATAAAACCATGGATAAGTCAAGGCATCATCATGTCTATTAAACATAGGGATAAAATGAAAAAGCAAATATTAAAAACCAAAAACAACAATCTTCTAAGACACTATAGGATATATCGTAACCAACTAAATAAAATAATAAATAAAGCAAAAAATGATTATTATACAATTCAAATTCAAAATAGTAACAATGATATTAAAAAAATATTGAAAATAGTTTAAAAAAGCTTCAAATGAACACTGAAACAATAAAACAAACAATGATTTTAATATTCTAAACAATTAAACAATTTACAAATGACAAAGAAATGGCCAACTACTGCAATAACTATTTTTCAAAAATTGGTATAGATATGGCAACTAAAATCAATTCTGTAGATGATTTCCTAATAAGATATCCACCTCTAATCAACTCAATGGTATTAAATCCTGTCAATAAAAATGAATTAATAGAACATATAAATTCGTTAAAAAATAAAAGTGCTCCTGGGATTGACGGAATTACATCTAGAATGTTGAAAAATGGTCACCGATACATAATAGAGCCTCTAATGCACATTATAAACCTAATCTTTACAACAGGTAAGATGCCGGAAGAACTTAAAATATCAATTGTATATCCAGTTTTTAAAAACGGATCCAAAAAAGATGTGTCAAATTACAGACCAATAAGTCTGATTACAAATTTTGCAATTTTTTTTATAAAAATGTTTAAAAAAAGATTATACGAATATCTAACTGATAAAAAGATTTTAAATGTTAAACATTTCGGGTTCCAAAAAGGTATTAGCACTTGTGTTGCCATTGATATCTAATATAAAAAACAATCTTGAGAATGAAAATAAAAATATAAGTGTTTTTATCGACCTTTGGACACTGTTCCTTTTACAAGCAACTACTAAATGTTCTTGAACATTATGGCATTCGAGGATTGGTTTTAAAAATTTTTGAGAGAACACAGATAGTTAAAATTAGAAATTAATTTAATAATGCTGTTAAAATTCAAATAGGTGTGCCACAAGGAACTGTCCTTGGTCCAATTCTTTTTATCATTTATATCAACTATCTTTTAAACTTAGATATAAATAGTATAGCAATATCCTATGCAGATGACACCATATTAATGTTTGAAGGTAAAACCTGGGAGGCTGTAAAATCAAAAGTGGTCAAAGGGGTAAGAATTATGAAAGACTGGTTGGATTATAATAAACTATCTTTAAATATATCGAAAACACAGATGCTAACAGGCCTAACTTCAAACAGATTTGTGTTGAAGAATCCAAATTCATCATCAAAGAAGTGGAAAATGCCAAATATTTGGGAATAATAGTTAACAAAAATCTTAAATGGACTGATCATGTTCAGTACTTAACAAACAAAATAAGAAAACTTGTATATAAATTTTATTTAATTCGTAACATTCTAAATAAAAAGTTATTACACTTGATATATATTGCTCTCATTGAATCCTTAATTAGATATGGCATAATTGTATTGGGTGGTTTATATGGCAATGCCCTACATCCTTTAAGTATCATTCAAAATTATATCTTAAAGATAATAAATCATAAAAGTCGTTTGTTTTCAACAACCCTCTTATACAACGAATCCACTCCAAACGTAAGATCACTATACTTTCACTCTAGCTGTATATTCTATTTCAAACTGAAAAATAAAAATTTTGTAAACCACTCTTATATGACCCGAAAACAAAAGAGAAGAATGCTAAATATACCATTCTTTAAATATGATGGAAATAAAAGATTAATTTCTTCAATTGGGCCAAAAGTATACAACTCTTTAAGTGAAAATATCAGATCAATAAAAAACATAAAAACCTTTTCTAAAGCGATCAGAAAATTTATATTTGATAAATATTTATACCTCTCAAATTTGTTATAAATACCTAGTCTTATATATTTATGTCTTATATATTTATGTCCTTTTTTTAATCTATTTCTATTGCACATACAGATTTTTTTGCATCTAGGTGCACATTTTAAAAATAATTTCTCATTGTAAATTTATTTGATTTTGTTTTATAAAATGTTTATTCTTCTTCTTAAATAAATGACATCCAAAAATGACTTTTCACCATCTATTTACCAATTTTTACATCGATTAAAAATCCCATAAAAATCAAAAAATGTTCTAAAGATTTTCAAGTAAAACAATCAATCAGGGTTCGGAGGATATACCGGGTGTTCAAATTAAAGTGTTACAGTTAAATACCGCCGAAAATATGCATTTTAGAAAAAAAACTTTCAGACAAAAGTTTTATAGTTTTTTGGGTGAAACATTTTGGCTAAATTCATTTTTTTATAGCTGACCATAATATAACCATATCGAGGTGAACTTTGTTTTTTTAAATGGGAATCCCATTTTTTTCTTACATATTCTTAAAGTACATAAAAAAATAAGAAACATTTGAGGGAAATATATTTTTTATTGGACTTTTACTTTTTGAGTAACAGCTACTTGAAAATGTTGCTGCGCGAAAAAAAAGTTGGCCATATTATGGTTAGCTATAAAAAACGATTTTAGCCAAAAGTTTTTCCCTACAAAACTATAAAACTTTCGTCTGAAACGTTTTTTTTTTATAAAAAGCTTTATATAGCTGTAACGCTTTAATTTAGAACACCCGGTATATCAAGTGATATACAGGGTGTCCCGAAATTAGACGGTCATATTTTAACAGCGTAATCTACATCCTAAAATAGGAATACAATTTCATATAAATATAGGTCCGAAAACGTTTCGTTTTCGAGATACAGGGTGTTACAAGTGAAGTCCTGATGGCACATTTTTATAAATATTTTCTAAAATTTCTTTAGTCACCGGTTTTCCAAAGTAAAAAAAAATAAAATTTCTGATTTCACAGGCCTACTAATTATTGTTTACACTTTCGAATAACTTGTCATGAAATTTTCAAATGCCTTTTTCTTGAAAATGGTCCGTCCTAGCGAGATGCAACAAAAGTAGCTTTATTGTAAAGAAAACATTGGTTTTCCAAATTTTGTAGTCAAAAATGTTAAAAACTGTCAACAAAAAAAACTTAGGGCAATTTTACCCTAAGCCCCCCTAATTTACCAACCTATGAAGATGATCAAAAACTGGGGGTTAGTCCGGTAAATAGAGCGTAAAAAAGTAAGCATTTGTACCAAATTTCACTTGGTTATCTTTAAACGTTTAGAAAATATTTACAAGAGTGTCATTAGGACTTCACATTTAACACCCTGTATCTCGGGAAAAAAAAAATAAAAACTCAATTTTAGTCACCACCTTTTAAGGGTGATATCTCGAAAAGGGGTGGGCTGAGGAAATTTTGTTATAGAAAATCACCTCCTGAATTTTGTTACATGAATTTAGAAACACCCTGTATATCATGATATTTATGCCTTGATATATATCCGATATATTAGATAATTTTATTTATTAAATTAAAAATGTTTTCCACCATTCTAAACATTCGAAAATGTCTCAATACGCCCTTAAGTCATTTTTAGTAAATAGGGGTGTATTAGTTCAGTTATGCTAGGACCATAAAGATGTTATTGCAAAGTGACATTATAAAGATGGTCAATGATGCCCAGGTTGCATTAAATGCCACTGACCTAATTGCTCTTCTAGATCCAATAGCCATGCTCTTGATAGAGTTCAAAGAGACTATACAACTATATCTGTGTGTGTAGAGGTGTGGTATAAATTAGAATTTGATTTCTCAGGACAGCCACTTTCAATAAAAAAAAAGAAAATGCATTATCTAGCAAACATTATTGATCGCCGATTTTTGGGACGGTATTTAACAGCTACTCAAAAATTTATTTTGTTCCATTTGTAATGTCTCTTATGTGAAAAGAAAGCCATTTCCAAAGTACTTTTTTGGGGATCATTTTAGGCTTACTCCGCCAATAACGTGGTGAAAATTGGTTCCTGTATTGAAATCAGACTGGCCAGACACAAACGCTTTTTTAGAATTGCGTAAACAGTTACACACTGCAGTGGCATCTACAGCAGGGATTGGAAGGACCTTTTCTTCTTTCGGTTTGGTTCAATCCAATAGACTGGTATTTATGTTTAATCAAAATATAGACAAAATGAAAACCAATCTTGACTGGACATGGGAACCAGCTATATCGAGGTTATTGTCACTAATTAACAAAATAATGTTAAAATCTGTTTGTTTTTAATTTTTTTCATTTTAATTAGAGTTAAAAATGTTATAATAAAAAGTTTTGTTGTTTAGAATTTAGAATATAGGTTTCTAATTAGATGTTTGTGTTAAAATATTTATTTTTAATTTGAGTTAGAACAAACGGTTTTGTTGCATGATATATATCAGATATATATCATGTGATATGATATTTATATAAATATCATGATATTTTTGAACACTGCTTTATAGTGATAATTACAAAATTCTTATTTTGGCAATTTCAAATTCTAAATGTCAGTGCAGAGTGGTGTGAAAATGTGCATTTCTAGACCTGTCAACTACAAGATTACCATTAAGAATTACCTCTTTATCTTTATCTATAAGGTAATAAGTAATCACCACGCCCAATTTTGACCCTAAATTGTTCAACAAAACTGTTGGGGTCAACTTTTCAATGTCTTTTGGAGTTTTCTTTTTCGGTTCAGGGCACTCATATTCAGTTTTTTCTAAAGCTTTAGCTGCTGCATCCTGTTTGGCCTTTTTAAGACTCCTACCCTGTCCAATGTAAGTTTCCTTCCCAAATGTTAAAGATAACGTAAATGTCTTTTCATGTGCTGGGCCCTAAATGTGTAAATAGTTAAGAATATCCTTCTGTATATATTTTTTTATAAAATGAAAATAATGTACTTATGTACTTACCTCTTCTTTTTCAAGCTTAAAATAATGATCAATTTGATGAAATCCCGCTAATTCATTCAATCTAGATAAAACAGGTTTTTCGGCTTCTTCGATTGTACCTACTGATGTAAGACTTAAAATACCTTCTGTTTTAGTATCTTCTTCAATTTTATCGCCCCTATTTAACAAAAGTACATCTAATTTTCCTAAAAAATAATTTAATAATTTTCGTTTTCTAACCTCAATTTACTAATTCAAAAACATTATATTACCTTCAATACATAGTTCTTGCTGGAAAAGTATTCTTAAATCATTTAAAGAATACGTAGAACCATTGATATAAGAAAATAATAGTCCTAAATAAACTGTTAAAGTACAAAAAAACCTCATTTTTTAAATATGTTATAAAAGAAAAATCATGAAATTTATTACGTCACAAGGGATTTACGGGCGTGGGTACTTTTTGCAATAACTTCATGATGCACTATGACCAACTCTACGTGAAATAACTTTTATAGGTTAAATTAAATAAACGGTAGTACAATATGCCGACAATTCAGCATACCTATTCTAGAAACTTCCCGTTCAGTTTTAAGTTGGCAACATTGTATGTCAAATTGGTACAATATGCCGACTGTTCAACATACCTACTCTAGAAACTTTCAATTCAGTTTTTTAAGTTGGCAACATTTTATGTCAAATTTGACCGGTGTGCGGTGGTTTACTTTTGAATGTTTTGAATTACATACACTTCATAATTTGAATTTCAAAACATTTTTTATTGTGAGAAATGAAGTAAAAATGGGCATTAAACATTTATGGACAATATTCTCCCCATTTTGTGATAGAAAACCCCTTTTCGAATTACAAGGGAAAACTGTAGCCATTGATCTTTCATGCTGGATATGTGAGGCACAAAATATAGCCGAATATCAAGTACAACCTCGTATGTATCTAAGGTTAGCCCCGTCGTGTTTTCTTTTAATTTAAAAATTAAAATTTCTGTGTTTGTAGAAATTTATACTTTAGAGCATGTTACCTTTTATTGATGGAAGTGAATCCAGTTTTTGTCCTAGAAGGCAAAGCCCCAGAATTAAAGTATGACACCATAACTGCTAGAAATGCATTACAGTTTAAAGGGGCGAAGCCGAAAACTGACAGTGTAAAAACTGGAAAAGATAGATCTAGGTTTAATCATGTATTGAAAAGATGTGAAGAAATGTTGGGGTATATGGGAATTTCCTGCATCAAAGGAAAGGGAGAGGCAGAAAGTCTGTGTGCTTATCTTAATGATGAAGGGGTAAATTTTCACACCATGAAGTATTATCTTTTAAAATGCTTAGATAAGTTACAGATATATTTTTTTAGTTGGTTGATGGTTGTATTTCACAAGACTCTGATTGTTTCGCTTATGGGGCTAAAATTGTATACAGAAATTTCTCCATAGCAGCTCAAGGGGCCTATTCTGCAAGTGGTGGAGCAGTTGATATTTATGATTTAAGTAAAATCAATAAAGGAATGAGTAAGTTATGGTGGCGTTGTGCCATACCATAAAATATAAAATTATTGATTTCTTAATAATATGCAAGGCTTCTGTTAAAGATGATGTATTTTCAAAACTGGATACATACAGATCATCAAAATATATAACAAATTTCAAAAAACCATAACTTAAAACTATAGAAACGACCAAGAAGGTAAAATATATACAGCTAGGGTGATTCATAACTATTGGGACATAGGCTAAGGGCAGGTAATTTGGACCAAAATATGGCGATAGGACCAAATATACGTTAATAAAATATTGCTGTGAAATAAGATACAGGGCGTTAAAGTTGAATTTTGTTTTCCGTTTTTTTCTGATGTCAGTGTATATTTATGAATTGTTATCAAAATCGGCATAGAAGCATATCTTTGGACAAGGAATAATATTTCATGTATTATTTGACATTTTGTTACAGATGGCGCCACGTGAATGATTCCTAATGATGAAATGAAGTGGTAGTTTTTTTTTACGAAACTTTTTAGTATTTTGGATTACAAAATATGATGTAAACATCATTTCTGCGTAATGTTAGTACTCTTGTTTAAACACGATAATTTCACCCGTTTTCGAGAAAAACACAATTTAACAGCTCACAAGTTTCAGATGGGGATTTAAAAAAATATTTCATTTATGAAAAGTGTGCTTTGCAGTGTCAGATAATTGTGTCTGTTACATGTCATTTCTTGTCATTGAATAATTATTGCTGTGAGATTACAATCTATTAATATTCTTATTATTACTATTATTATTATTATTTAACGCCATGTATCTTATTCCACACCAATATTTCATTAAGGTAAATTTGGCTCTATCGCCATATTTTGGTCCAAATAACCTGCCCTTAGCCTATGTCCCATTAGTTATGAATCACCCTGTATAGATAGTTTCGCAAGTGAACACCACATAAGTACTGTTGGATAAATTCCCAACCAGCACGGTGGTGTAGCGGTCTAACGCGCTTATATTCATTTATAAGCAAGTTTATGTGTTGGGCTTCGAATCCCAGACCAGACCATGTGGATTTTTAATTAAATTGCATGGTTCGGTATAGGGTTTCATGTGTGCCGTATTAATAGAAATTCAATTTCTATTGATATGACATGCAGATTAAAAAAATTCGCCATACATTACCGTCTCGATGATGGTGGGTGAGGTTTTCCTCACCTGTAAGTCAAATGGCACCATCAATCATCTTTAAGTCGCCCCGGAGCGCCACGGCAAATAATAATAATAGCCGTCCCTTTCCCCGCACAAGCTCAGCTTTTGGGGTTAAAATTCACTCGTAAGGGGGTGAATTAGGGAGAGTATTATTATTATAGTATTATAATATCATACCTAATATAAGATGATAATAATAAAGCTCTTTATTGGGTATATAAGTTTTACAAATAAATAAGCCTACTTAAAATAAATATTCAGCCTTTCAAAAAGTAAAAATATATAAGATCATAAAATTTACAATCAATAAATCCCAATTCACCAGCCTAGAAAAAAGAAAGTCTTGCTCTATGATAAAAGCAATAGACTTTAGAACCCAAAGCAGAAGTAAGTCCTTCGTCTGGTAAATATGTCTGTTTTAAGGGTGTGAGAAAAGAACAATTTAAACATTCAATCCTGCAAGAATAAAACTTTTCTTCTCCTACTGCAGCAGTACATCAAACATATGTGTACAGGGGGATAAGTTGTCAATATTAAACAGTTGTTAGTTGTAAATACATGTTTATATCATAAATGCATAGTTTACAGTTAAATGCCGATTGTGTTTCAATTAGAAACATATTCAAAGTGATTAAGAACCAAATCATTTCATGTATTATATTTTTGTTCACTTATTGTAATTGATAACTCAAAGTCACATAAAATTTATTATACTGACATTTAATAGTTATAAGTTACAATGAGTTACAATAATAAATAAGTTACAATAAAGTACAATAATGGAAACCAATTATATAATAACAAGCACCTAGGTGAGAACACCTGTATGTGCTGACAAAAATTTAAATTTTATTTTAATTATATTTAATGAATTATAAAGGAAATAAAAAAAAAAACATTTTTTCTTTTAAATAAAAAATAAAACTTGAACAATTTATGCAAGAAACAGAAAAAACTATTTAAAAAAAAAAAACATGTACTAAGTCCGTTATTCTTGGAATATTCTGATAAACTTTGCATTATTTTGGAAAATGTATATTTTGCTAACTTTACAGAATTTTTTATATTTGTTTAATAATTTTATATGAAAAGGTAGAGCGTTATAGAACTTTGTCACTAGATAATTTACAGTTTTTAAAAAACTCACTATTTGGTTTTGGTACTTTAATGCACATGTTCGATGCAGTTCTAGTGTTATGTCTATGTTCTAAAGGGTTTTTTAAAAATTCATTTTTTTGTATATAACAACACACTGCGTGAATATATAAACATATAACATTGCTAATTTTTTCATTATATAAAGTTGTGGTGGGACACAATCTATCTCTTTTATATATTAATTTCAAGATTTTTTTGAATAACATTTAACTGATTTAATGTAGTTCCATACAGGCCTCACCATACTAAGATTCCGTACCGTAGTATAGATTCTACTAGACTGTAGTATAATGTTATTAGTAGATCCTGGTTGAGAAATTGTTTTAGAAGATGAAATTTATAAATCAGAAATCTCAGTTTTTTTACTATATATATATATATTATATGGCAGTTCCATTTTAAGTGCTGGTCTATAATTATACCTAAATATTTGGATGTTTCTGTTTCCTATGTCTAAATTTTGACATGTTAAGCTTCTAAATTGAGGTCCATCAGCCACTGTCTTTGAAAAAGCAATGTAGTTTGTTTTGTTAACATTCAAAGGCAATTTAAGAACATCCAGCCAGTTTTTGACATGTTCCATTTCAGCTATAGCACATGTCTTGACGGCCTCCCAATCTTTATCACTGAAGACTAGCACTGTATCATCAGCATATGATACAACTTTACCTTGAATATCAATCTGAGTTAAGCTCTTAATGTATAAATTAAATAGTATAGGTCCCAGAACAGTCCCTTGAGGCACTCCGATTTGTATATTTTCAGGGTTACTCACATTGTCTCTGACCTTTACCTTCTGTTGTCTGTGTGTCAAATAATTTTCAAAAACCTTCAACACGATGCCCCTCACTCCATTCTATTCAAGAACATTTAAGAGCTTCTGATGTGGCCCCGTGTCAAATGCTTTTGCTAGATCTAGAAATATAGCTATACACTTGTTACCAGTATTCATTTCATCAGTAACATATGAAATCAATTCATGCATAGCATCTCCTGAGTTAAGACCCTCAGTAAAGTCATATTGGTGCTTGGGAAGTAAGTCATTAGTTTTTAAAAAATCTGGCAGTATATCTTTCACATATTTCTCAAATATTTTGGCCACATTACTAATTAAACTAATTTATATTTTTCGTTAGAAGTTTTAGTTCTTAGTGTATTTTATTCTTTGATTTTTTATTTTTATTCTATTGATTTGACATATTTAAACCTGTAGATTTTGGGAGAAACAAAATTATTGCCATGGCCCTGCTATGCGGTAGTGATTACAGTGATGGTGTTAATGGAGTTGGTAAAGAAACAGTATTAAAGTTTTTTGAAAATTTACCCGATGAAGAAATATTAGAAATATTAAGGTCTTGGAGGAGGAATACAGAAAAGTATGACAAGTTTGAACAATTAATAAATGATAAGAATATATGTACAGCTTGTGGACATCATGGTAAAATACAGGGACACACCAAAAATGGTAATTCTATCTATATAATAATAATAGTACTTTAATATAATGAAAAATACAGATATAGGCCTTTTTATCTCGCAAAAATTAATAATCTTTCTTATTTATTTAAGGTTGTGGTCCGTGTGGAATGACAAAAGGTTGTAATGGTGAGAAATACAAAGAAAAAAGACTGAAAATCAAAAATGAACTATCAATGAGAGACAAAGCCTTACAAGACCCTGATTTTCCCAATGAAAAATTGATACAAGAATTTCTTACCAAAAAGGACAAAGTGTGCAAGTTAGATTTAAAATGGAGACAGCCCAATGTTTTAAAATTTGTAGTAGGCAATAAAACATTCTATATTTCACACTTTTTTATTAATCATATTTTTTAGCAATTCACTTCCAAGTTTTTGCAATGGGAAGAAATTTATGCTTTTGAAAAAATTCTTCCAATTTTGACTAGATGGCAATGTTTGAATCCAGATTTAGTATCAAATGATTTGAAGGGTATTCTTCAACCCAGTTATATTAAAAAAGTTAGGACTCCAAAAGGTAATTTTTTTTTTTTTTTAATAGTGGCAATTTTATTTATTACACTTTCAGGGCTACCAAGCTATGAAATAATATGGTCAGACCCAGAAGAACATTTTATGGGTCTTATTCCTAAAGAGCAAATTGGCGAGTCTAATACAACACCAGAAAAATTATGGTCCACTATAGAACCACAAAGTTTAGTCAACAAAGCTTATCCAAAACTAGTAGACAAATACCAACAAAGCAAAATCAAGCCCAAGAAAATAACCAAAAGAAAAAAGAAAGATGTCAACATTGAAGAATTGGGCGACATGTTGAAAAATACTTCAATATCAGAACCAAAGCCTAAAAGAACAAGAAAACCTACAAATAAGAAAGAGAAAAATAAAGATGAACTTAAAGACAATTTGAATGGTCTGAAATTGTCTAAAACTAACAAGAAAAACACATTACTGGATAATTTTTTAAGACAAGCTGTATTAAACAACCAACAAATTAAAAACAAAGAAGAAAAGGTTTCGGAAAATAAGGAAATCGAAGACGAAATAGAAGTTATAGATGTTGATAATTGTCACACATCAACTCCATCTAAATCCTTTAACAATTGTAGGGATAAATCATGTTTTGGAGATGAAGATGATGATGAAGATCTGTCTCTTATCATTGAAAATATAATTTCTAAGAAACCGACAAACTTACAACTAGGTGATATATTTAAAGGTTTGCAATTCAATGAAGATTTGTATGAAGAAGTAGATGAAAAACAAAATATGGATGTAGATTTGTTGGAAAAAATAGAAAAACATTTGGATGTCGAAAGGAACCATTCCAGTTTTTTTATTACAGGGCCTGTTGAAAATGATTTATTCGAAAGAACTTTTAATGAACTAAACTGCAGTGATGAAAGTGATAACACAGTGGAATATGATTATAATGAACTTGAATTTGATGATGATGAAACAAAAGATTTTGATGGGGATAAAAACAAAGGAACTAAAATTGTTGGAAGAAAAAATGAGAACGAATGCAAAAGTGAAAGATTGAATGGAAATTATGACAACATTAAAAAAATAGATAGTGATAGGGAAGATGATGATAGCTTCTGTGATATTTATGTACCCCTATTAGATAGATTAAAAAACAAATAAGTTATTTTGTATCATTCTATATTTTTAATATATATAATTTTATTTACTTATTTTTACTCATCCAACAGTTTAAACCAATGAATTACAGGATAAAAAATACTGAAAATATAAAAATTGTTTTAACAGAAATAAAATATCAATAAAATAAATATATTTTTATAATAAAAATAACTACAACTTTTAAATAATACCATTTTCAGTAAAAAATAGCTATTTGCTTCAAATTCCAAAAAAAGGCACTTTTGGACTTCAATTTGAACATTATACAGTACTTGTTACTTCATAAGAATAATAAGGGCGATAATATTCATTGCTATTTGTAAGAGATTCCCATTCCTGTTCATTTGAATCAAATTCATAAAGGCTTAATATATTTTTTTTAAGTTTGTTCATTCTTCTTCGTTTGGCCATTAAATATACCTAAAAATTATAGTTATGGAACATGGAGTTATTTTAAACTACCTGAACACAGGTACACCATTAATAATTTACATCTGGAGATAATATTGAAGGGGCTAGAATACAAACGGTACTTACACTTAAATTATTTCGTACAAATTAAGTTTAACGCTTTTACTGCCCAAGCTTTAATGCCAACTTCACGCTCTGGCCCATCGGTATCCAAACATTTGAAGTTTGGATGTTCATTAACGTCATGGGCAAAGAATACCTACCCAAGAAGCGAAACTGAATGATTTTCGTATGTACTAAGCATAGAAACTTAATACACTGGGAAACGTATGAAAATTAATCAATTTTTGTCGTTTGGTTCATAAGAATTGAACACATACTAAAGTAATAATGACGATACAGAAAATTCTTACTATGTTCTTTATGTAAAATAGATTATTTTAATAACAAAATAAGTACTGTAGACACAATAATGACAGTCACTACACAATAGCGTAAGCAAATAACCTGGTCATTCTGCAAATAGGGAATTTTGAGAACAATTGAAGTAAAACAAAACTTTGCAACAGATGTGAAGTACCTAGGTAGCTCCTTTGATATCAAGTTAACATGGAACTCACACTTTTAAAACATAGTCAAAAGAGCATACATTGCTTATGGGGTTTTTCCCCCAGAGTCGTCACATGGACTTACACTGCTATCATAAGACCTATGCTAACATACGTTGCAGTTATCTGGGTACCGAAAATCCAAAAATTGACAGCTATCCGCAAACTAGAACAAATTCAAATAACAGCATGTCTCAACATAACAGGAGCAATGAAAAACACATCAACCAGAGTCATGAAGTCATTCTTAGTCTCACTCCCCTTGATATTTACATCAAGGAGGTTGTTCTGATGATGACATGCCTCTGCATGGTTGGAATAGAAAATTATGTTTAGAATAGAAGAGCCGGAAGTGGCAGGTACGATTTATATCGATACTAACAGTTGTAAAACAAAACAAGGCGCAGGATGTGGAATTACTCCAATTCCTTGAACCTCAACATTAAGTGGACTGTGAGTAATGTAGCTCAAACCGAGCTCACGGAGATTGTCATAGCAGCAAAATAAATCACCAAAAACAATATCACTGGTAGGAACGAGCTTATCTATACAGATAGCAGATAAGCACTACTTACCATGAATTTACTCAGGGTTAGTACTAGAATGTCACGAAGCTTTGTTAAGAGTATTCATCAACAATGTGCTGATTCACTAGCCAAGAAGGCAGCCAACCAAATACTTTTTGCACCTGGCCCTTCTATTGGACTGACAACATAGGTAGTGACAGACCTGATTAAAGAACATTCCCTTAAGAAATTCAAGGAAACATGGGATGAAACCAGAAACTGCAGAGTTGCCAGGAAGCTTTTAAGTTATCCTGACAACACTATATTAAACAAATACTTCACTATGACTAGACAGAATTTGCGCCTGATCACAGGTATTCGAACTGGTCATTGCCAATTACGGAAACTTGGCAGTTTTTTGTCGCTTCTTGGGTAGGTATTCTTTGTCATGGGCCATACACAATGCAAATCTAAAAATGTATTCTGGGGAATAGCTACGTCAAGTACTGGTGTCAAAGAAGTATATTACCGAGCCGCAGGCTGACGGTGTACCTATAAATTCATTTATCGATCAAGGTAGTCAAGTACTTCGTCAATGGTTGACCTGAGACTATAAGTTCTCGGAAGCCTATCTAGGGAGTGGAATAAATGAGGAATTAATAAATCGAAAGAAGTAGGGTATCCAAATGCTGTTACAATTAGCCAATGAAGCTGCAGCTACCATGTCAAAATTTTGTAGGGAAGGCTGGACCATTCAAGGCGGAGAGTAAAAAACAATCAAGAATAGTTTAAAAGGAAGTCTGAAAGGATGAAAAAAGACGTAAACTCTCGACGTAGTTCTATAGAGGCTGTCCCATTAGTGCATAATTACTTGATATTTCAATTTGTATTATAGACACATGTTTTGAATAAAAGTTATGTGGATTTGAAAAAATATAATTTAGAAACATTTTTGGATACACAGGGTGTTACGCTTTTACCTGAAAAGTAAAAATATGTGTTTAAATGCAACACCCTGTATTTTATTTGTTTTAGAGTGGCATGGTAATTACTAAAGACCGGACATTTTAATCGCGTTCAAATAATTGGTTTTAATCACATAGGCGTCTCATTCTGGGTTCGCTATTTAAGACGGCAGACAGTGCGGCAGATTCTAATACTATCAGGACAAACCTCTTTTTTTTATTAAAACAAGATAAAAAAAGTGTACTGATATATACATAGACATTAAAACTAATACAAAAAAGTGAGATTTTTTTTTATCGTGTACCTATATTCTTTGTCTTTTGAATCATTTTCATTAAACAAATTTAATGTTTTCTTCTCACCAACGCCGAGGATATGTAGGATATTTTACAAAAGTTTTTAGTAACCTCAGATCCTTTAATTTGTGGCCTGAGAAATTTTCCTTAAAAAAAAATAACTTTTTTGATGAAGATGTTAAACTTTTCATAAGCGAGTTTAAGGTGTAGTAATGTAAACGATATTCTGTATGATATTTTTTTTATTATTATCTCTTATATAATTACAAAATATCTATTCCTCAATATTTTGGCGTGGTACACTACTCTCCTGCCTAAAATGAGGATCGAGGACCCCAGCTGCCTCCCCCGAATTTGTTATTTCCTCCAGAAAATTGGAAATTTCTAGCCTTAGCTGGTCCCGATTCATTGTTGGAGAAATTGCATCGGGGCCAAATATTAGGACTCTACGAGCGTTTGGACTAAGACGCTGTAGAGAGGGCCTAAAATGAATGTCAAATAGGCCCATCATATGTTGTCTTATACTTTCTCGATCCATTGTCGGTTAGTTGCCGGTGATATTTTTATTCAAATAAAGTCAATCCTTATATTATATTTATGAATATTTTGGCTTTTATCGATACCGTACATACCGATTTTTTGTAACAAAACATTTATGTTTTTATTTCCTGTGGATATTATGGTACTTATACACGATGAGACAATAAAATAAATGTCTGTTAAATTTCTGTAATGTATGTATTAATTCAATTGCTCACTCTATATAGGTATCTGTTGGTTGAAAAAATGTAAAAAGATAACAAAGAGTCGATAAACAGGAGATTTGAGAAGAAAGTGTCTTGTAAAAATATCACTAGATTTTTCCAATGAGTATATTTGTTTAGTTCAAAGGGAAAAGTGATAGAAACTGGAAACGTAAATATGGAAAATTTATTATCGGACTTTGATTGTTTTCGTCGTTTTAATGACAACAAATTATACTGCCGCAATTGTGATCAGGTGTTAGTTTTTAATGGAAAGTCAAGTATGACACAACATGTGAAAACACAAAAACACATGCAATCTTTAGAGGGATGTCCAGACAAAATCTTTTATGAAGATTTATGCAACGCATTTGTTTCTGCAAATATTCCATTAACAAAATTAAATAATACAATTTTCAAAAATTTTCTTTGTAAATATACTAAACGTAAAATACCGGATGAATCCACAATTAGAAAACATTATATTCAAAATCAGTACGATAAAGCAATGACGGCAATAAAAACGAAAATTTCCAGCAAATATATTTGGGTTAGTGCAGATGAAACGACTGACATAAAGGGTAGATGTGTTGTTAATGTTGTTGTAGGATTATTAAGTGCTGAAAATACTTCACAACAGTATTTAGTTTCTAGTGTGTTTCGTGAAACTGTGAACGCTGAAATGATTTATGAAATAGTGAAACGTGGATTGAACAATGTAATTGATAATGACGTTTCAAAAGTTTTATTGTTTATTTCAGACGCGGCAAGTGTAATGTTGAAAACAGGGAAACTATTACAAGAACATTTTCCAAACATGCTGCATGTAACTTGCCTTGCTCACGCGTTACACCGAGTTTGTGAGTTTATCCGTGACAGCTTTCCAGACATTAATTCGTTGATTAGCTGTTTAAAAAAAATTTTGTTAAAAGCACCGTCCCGAGTTTCTTTATATAAAGAAATATGTCCGAATATCCCCCTACCTCCACAACCAGTTATTACACGATGGGGAACTTGGTTACAGGCTGTGTTCTTTTTTTCGGAGCATTTCGACAGACTAAAAGTATTTATTTCCAACTTATCAGAGGACGCTCTCTCTATCACTCAGTGTAAAGGTTTAATAACAAAAACAACTTTGCAGTCGGAGTTAAATTTTCTTGCGACTTATTTTTCGTGTCTCCCAGAAACTATAAAATTCCTTGAAACCCGTAACTTACAATTATCGGTTGCTATGGAAAAATTTGAATCGACATTGTTACACTTAAAAAACGTAAAGTGGCCCTTACAAGATAAATTTAACCATAAAATAGATTGTGTTATTAAAAGAAATCCAAATTTACAGACTCTGAAACAAATCTCCCTGAACAATTTTAACGATTATGAAACTGCTTTAAAATATTGTGATTTTGTTCCACATTTTTCATTTGCTCCTGTAACGAGTTGTAACGTAGAACGATCGTTTTCTAGGTTTAAAGATTTATTGACTTCTAAAAGAAGTAATTTCACTGAAGACAATTTAGAAAAATATGCAGTCATACAAACATATTTTTCAAATGAAGAAGATTGATATTAATTTGTATTGTATATATTGTATATAATTGTATATTTGCTACTTTAGGATAAAGAGTGTATATTGGAACACTCTAAACATAAAACTAATGATGGTGTATCCTCGTTGATATATTTATTAGTCAATAATATATTAACAGAAAAAGCCAACAACATTATCCCACAACACAATAAAAAAATAAATAATAATATCATTTGTAATTATATAATAATATCCAACCAAATTTGAACTAAAATTTAATAAAATAATTATTGCAATGTAAATGTAATAATAAGCCCGCCCCAAATGTTACGCCCGGGCGATAAAAATCCAATATCTTATCTACTGTGTCGACCA